CCGGACACTGCGAGTGTTAGGTATGCTTTTGCGAAAGCTGCCCGTGGGTCCTGGCCATTGCGCATCGCTCTCAAGTTTGAATCTGCCTTGGGAACGTGGCCCGTGTAACCGACTATTTTGTGCTCGAGACACTTTGCGGTGCCTTGGAATAGCTTGTATGACGTACCCATCTTAGTTATAATTTTGCTTTGTGGTTGGATCGATTGGGGGAAATCAAGATCTGGTAGGCGAGAAGCTGGCGAGGCACCGAAGTCGATTTGTTGCTCTGTATTAGGATTGAGGTGAGAGCATTCAACAAGATCTAAATAGTTCTTTATCTGACGCTTCTGAGAAGTACCATTGATAAATTCGGTGTGCGGCACTCGAAGGTACTCAGGGTCCGATGGCCTCAGAGCCGGATCCCGCGAGCGCATCAAACGAATTTGCTCCGCACGCTGGGTAACATTCGGTCCATATACTCGTGCATCATCATGTGTACGTTCTATCTTGCGTGCAACACTGTAGAAATCAGTCTGCCGACCGGGCTCGATACAACGCGCTGCGGCATGCGCTTCCGACTCCCACTTAGACGACGGTTCAGAAACCACCTTGTAGGGTACCTGAGGTGAGACCATATTCCCCTTGGCTCCAAAAATAGCCTCATGTGGACTCTTTGGTTGCCGATTGAGAATGGAGCCAGAACGGTTACCTATTACATGGAATTTTTTAGGCTCCATGTCAGCTGGAATTGCGGTGTAATCCAAGTCGTAAGTTGTCTCTTTGGTTTGGTGAATAGAACCAAAATTGGTCTGTTGCTCGGCCGGGCCAGTCGAAATGCATGGCAGACGTGAGGACAATGGAAGCCGGGTATTAACGCTAGTTTTGAGGGTGAGGCTCATTAGGATAAAACGCAAACTAAAGAAATAAAAAATAATTATATAAACGACTCCGTAGAGGGGGGAACTCTAAGTATGAGAAGTAAATGAAAAGGGATAAACAGTTGAGAAAGATGTGAGCTAGTTTTGGTCACCATACCATCACTACTTAAGACAAAAAGAGACTCACATCTCGAAAAGGAAGAGATTAAATTACGATTCAATGAATCCTGTAAATTCACTTCTATTCTAAGATTAACAACATAAAAGGTGCATCACATAATCTAAATCGGTTCCCTTGTTAATCTGAAATTCAACGCTTGTTAGAAAGCCCGAAAGGCTGCAGTGATTGCAACCGATAAATACGAAAATAAAAAGGGGGGCAAGGCGGGTTCAAAAGGTGGCTTTCGCTTTGTTTGAGAATCCAGTACCGCATTCGCGCACCACCGTCTTTGCTTGTCTGGCAGCTCTCTAGTCTGATTCCGAGTCATCCCATGTACTCTCCTTAGTTGGGTTTACTTCAACACGTTTGTCATACGTATAGCCCGGATCACCTGGTTTGATGGCTACCTTTTGGAATTCCTTATTCATGAACTCCTTGAACTCGTTCGTCGTAAGCTCGTCTGCGTCATTGAGATCCACGTTGTGTAGTGCCTCGTTTGGATCACGATAGAGTAACCCTAAATCAGCCTTTTGTGGTTTTTGATTCATCGTGGAATTTGGGACAAGAGAATCAGACGATTCCATTTTTGCTGGTAAGGCGGGTGGCACCGACTCCAGTGCATCGAAAGCATCAGTAACCCCCGACACGGCCCCTTTAGATTTCTCCTGCACGCGCTCTAATTGTGCAGCCAAATGCTGTAGCTTGGTCAGCAGTCTCTGAAACACTTTTTCATCCAACAGTGAATCATGTGATTTGGCAAGACGTCTTGCAATGTGTGTGGTAGGACCCTCTAAGGAAAGAACTGATTCAAGGTGAATCTTACGGCTCCTCATGGTCCATGGCGGTCTGCTATATTGGATGGCAATTTCTAGTGGTGACAAACGCAGGGCCACCTTTGTAACTTTGACCACCTCGCCGGCTCCCCTACGAGTGGCATGATCCTCACGCCACCACCGAGGCGAGATCATAGACTTCACTAGCAGATCATTCACAATACGCTGGGTCAGATCCTGGGCCGAAAGCTCGAATATCCGATTTAAATGTAAGGCATCACTCTGGTCATCCAGGAACTTAAGAACCTGATCAGTATGGATAGTATATGGGATCAACGCGGTGCAAGTTTCCACAGCATTTGCAAACTCACTAGTAGTACAGCCACTGGGGTATAGGTTATTGATGACATCCTGCATCTCCTGAATGGTTGCCTTGTTTTTATCACGGACAAAGTCTAGCATAGCACAGTAACGTGTTGCCATTTCCTGAAACCAGTCTGTTTTTCGTAATTCATGAATACTTTGCACTAACTGGAGATCCTGCTCAGAGCAGGCGGATCCTGTACGCAGTGTAATTTCATAAAAAGCCTTTCTAGAGTCGTGAAGATGCTTTTGAAACAAATGGTGAACAAGCACAGACAAGTTGAGCCCAAGCTCACTAAAATCCATATTCAGATTCCTTGAAGTAATATCAACTAAAGTAGGAAAAGAGATAAAAATATAGTGAGGAAAGACTGAAGCAGACACCACGCTGATGCGGCAAAAAGAACACAACATCACACACTCATTCTTTAGACGAGTACATATGCGCATACCCCCTTCGCTCCCCACTTCTCATTTAAAATCTTCGACGGCGACGCTGGCGTCCACGGCGCTCGTAGGTATTGTGTCCAGCTCCCCGGAGGACTGGAGGGTCCATCCACACCTTCATACGATTGCATAGACTACGCCGCTCCTTAACACCAGCATCCTTGTTTCCAGCGCGGCGATTAGCATCGATTCGAGCAAGGTTAAGCGTAATCGCAGCTACTTGGCGCAAGGCCTTAGGTCGCAGTTGTGGAGGTAAGTTGCATACAAGGTCCGAATTGCTAAGAAATCCCGTTGTACGTATCGCAATACCAGAATCGCTGCCACGCCGACTTCCAAGGACCGCCAACTCACCAGCATCCATCACTGAAAGTTTAGTCAAACTGCCCGTGATGGCAAAGAGTTGGGATGTGATACCAGTACCTAGAAAAGCACATAAATTAGGCGCTATTAACGGCATAGAACATTGAAGGTACTCAAGAAAAGTTTGTTTTGCAAGTTCTAGATTTTCCATTTCTTGGCATGCCACGAGAACACGATTCAACTCCTCATCGGTAAGAACGCGGCCTCCTGTCGTGGAAGCACAAGCCACAATAACCACCAGCAACTGGGAAGGAATAAGCTCATCTAAGGCATCAACGACAGCAGTGAGATCCATGTTATTCTGAATAATCCTAACGACTTTGGCATACAAAACCATGTCTGTAAAGAACATCGCCAACTCAGGGAATCGGATGCTATAATGTGCACGCAAGAAGACCAATACACGAGACTTTTCAACCTCCATTCTTAAGACCAGATTACTACAATCCGATAAGTACGCATACTCAGGATCATCCACAGTGATAGCGTTTTTCGACGTGCCATCGGGATCCTCGTAATCACTCAAACGCTTGAACATGTTACTAAGGTACGCGGAGCGCAGTAATTTAGTGACATCCGTGACGCTGGAATAACGCAATGCATCATCATCCGTAAGAAGTGGTGCACTTAACTCATTTTCATCGAGCTTCATGATATCCTTTTCATTATTGGTCGCAGCATCCCAACCCTCTTCAAGATCCATTTCGATGGTGAGGTATCCTTTAGGGAAATTAAAACTATCGAAAAAGCTGAAGGTGAGACCTAAATACAGCTTCTATAATAGAATGAATCTGAAATAAAACTTAAGCTTAAAAAAAGAGTAATTTTATTAGGCTCGATCCCACAAACTAGATGCGATAAAAAGCTTAACCCATATAGAAGATGTCAATTTATATACATATGCATTCATTTGTATTCTATTCATAGAAACATCCACTGAAGTATTTTTATTAGCGTTTATTTCATGTTTACCAGGCTTACATGTAGAAAGAAAATAACGTATGATCTACTTACATAAAACACATCACATGTGCAAGAGAAGAAAGTCGGAAAGAAGGGAGAAACAGAAAATAGTCTGATATTAGATTAAAAAGCAGTGCTTAATATTTTTATTAGAAGAAATATAACCTAAAACCGCTTCAAGAACTTCTCAGCTATTCATATTCCCTCCATAATATCCCTAAAATGAATATACAAAAATATATTGACGTTCTCCTAGCATAGATATTTTGTTCTCAAGTTCGAGAAAAAAACGCGTCAAACGTAACAAGAATGGCTCAAAATGGTAGTGATTTCAGGAAATAGCGGTTTCCTTAATTTAAGAATTCATTGTAAATTGTTTTCTTCTTGAGACCATCAAAGCTTTTATACATAACCATGATGCACAAATACCAGTGTGGGTACACACCACACACGAACACTCTACTGTGCTGATAGTGATGAGTGTTTGTTTTCATTACATTGAAAAAGTAAGAGGTTCTATGTTCACTCTAGCTAATTCTTTTTGTGCTATTCTTAATGTGCACTTAGCGGACCATGCTTTTTTCTTCCGAGCAGAACTGCTATACTTTTTACGATAAAACTCTAAAGCCTGTTCATATTTCGTTCTCACCACTGCCTCCGCTAAAATGTGCCTCATATTGATAAGATTGGTCGGTGTAGATTCCTCAGACATGTTAAGAATATCTAAAGCCAAAAAACAAAGGCAACTCTTGCGTAGCCCATATCGACATACAGTACGTAAAGCTTGTACATGGCCCCCACTGATTATTCGGCTTAAAATTGAATCTGGAGAGTCAAGACTATGCTCATTCTCAAAGCTTTTTTCTGGCCAATCCATTGAAACATAACCACGGGACAAGAACCCCTCGAAAATGAAGTGCTGAGCTTCTGTCATGTCGCTGTCTGATGGAATAACTGCAAGAATGATGTTCATAACTATGTCCATGTTTAATTCAGGCACTACAACCACTCTGCCACTAGTATTACTCGTGTAATCTGGTATTGGTCCATTTGTGCACCCAACGCAGTCCATGATTTCAAAAAGTTCAGCAAAACGAGCCACATCCTCTTGCTGGGCTACGGCAATCCACTCACGGTGCCCCTTGCCGCACGCATCGGCGTTTTCCGTCACGTCCTCGAATGTTTGGATAGCGCCGGGGTTCGTCCGCGGAATCCATTTTTGAAGATACCTTAAGACATACTCGTGCCCGTTCCAGTGAGCCAGAAATTGTGCGCTGCGGCCACGGAAAAATGGATCCCCTTCGGTAAGGCTTGTAAGAAGACGCACATCGGCGCCATGAGCGCAAAGAAGCTTTACACACTCAAGATGACCTTGGCGAGAGGCTAAATGGAGTGACGTAAAGCCAAGGGAATTGCGAGCATTCACTTCGCACGTGCACTCTAACAAAAGGGCCTCCAACATCAAGGCGTAGCCCATACCGGCGGCGATGTGTAATGGTGTGTTGTCCAAAGCATCCCGAGAAGTCGATATAGTGTTTGTATGAACATCTAGCTCTTTTAACACAGCGATGTATGGATTAGTATCAGAGTTGCCTTCCTTGATCCGTTCAAGCAGACATTTTAAGCCAGGGCTACAGTCGAAAGGATTTATGTTGCATATCACGGTAAGAAGACTTGTAAGATCGTTGGTTGCTACTAGATCAAATACATCTCGCAAGCGCATTTCATGGGCTGATGCTGTAGCCGCCATATAGGGTTGGCTTTTGATCTTATGTTTCCTTGCTCGAATAAGTGTCAAAAAGTAAAACGGTCAATTGGTGATGTGTCAAACAGATAGAATGTCCAAACTTCCTGTACTTTGAGTTTTTTGCCGCAATCAAAAATTCTCATATTCATTTTTTCCCTGTAAATGGCTACATTAATAAATGCAGCCCCTTAAACAACACATACTTCGGAGTTAGAACTGAATAAACGATCACAAACTCAATATGAATAAATTATGCCACCTCATATTTTATGTCAAGGCCGGGTTAAGTCACAGAAGGAGAATATGGATCTAAATGCATAAATAAACTCCGGTCATTATATTTCATTGACTGTTAATTTCATTCTTAATCGCTTTCCCAGCCCTCACCTAAGGAGGTTTCAAGATAATCCGGCTCGCAGAAAACGCCGTAATCAGTGCAACGTCTTGACGCCCGACAAATTTCACTAAATGCGTTGTCCTCGTGGGCTGTGCAGTCGTCATCTATGTCTGGCATCGAATTGTCTAACTGCTCAGTTTCGGGGTAATCGTTCGCTGAGAAATCCTCTGCATTACTGTCGTACTCATCGTCTTTGCGGTGATCCGCACAACAGTAAAGATCCTCCTGAGCCGCCCCGCTACTCTCGAGAACAAATGGAGCGAAGTCCCCGTAACCATGTATGCAATCCAATAGGGTGTTGTCATGGTCCTCACAAATCGGTGGCCATGAAGAAGAAGGCGCCTCCGCGTCGACCCCTCCTCCATCTGGTCGTGCACGTCGGGATGGTACTAGGAAAAACGTGTGCACCGAACCGCTGGCATCACGCGGGCGCTTCCCGATCTGTCGAATCGGGTGAATTGCAGGTAGAGGTCTTTCACTTATGGTTAGTTTGTCAAAATCGAATTCATCGCTGTGGTCGCTGCATGTAGGCGACGGCGTGTCCTTTTGTAGCTTGCTAGAGTCCGTTAACATCACGTAAAGATCTTCTTTCATTTCTTCACCGGTGCCCAATGGTGTCTCAATATCCCCTGCTACACAATCAATCAGAATATACTGATGGGCTCGCTTAACAGCATTGACGCAAAGTGTGGTCCCACCCACCTCATTAGCCTTACTATCCGATATAAGTGACGACGTTAGGGCTCTCTCCATGTGCCCTTGTCCACGGGATATAGTAACATTTTTCTGCAAGCGTTGGAAAACAGCAGTTTCAGTTGACGAAGACAATTCTAACGAATTCGTATAATGATCGCATGCTGAGATGAGAGGAACATGTCCGGAGTTGTCATCCCATCGCACTCGGACACGCGGTGGCATGTCTCCATCATCTTCTGTCGCTTTCTCGCTAATACCTTTGCGAGATCGGCGACGGCGCACACGCAAAAGCATCTGGAAAGGCTGCATCGAGCGTTCCCCTGATAAATCCGCAGTAGATTTCATCTTGAAAGTAATCGGTGAGAATGCAATGAATGAATTCTCCTAGTATAATGAAAACGATGATAATGCATATTAGGGAATGCAGCCTTGACAAATTAAGATCCAAAGATGGAAAGGTTCAGATATGGATAAACAATCTATGCCAAAATTAGTATTTCGAAGAAGGGCACTGATTATAGTATTAGATTCTCAATTTATCTTTATGCATTGGGGCTCATCAAATCAGATTCTTCGATCCCAAATTTGCGGGAAGATACCCTGCACTAGCGATGAGATCATCCCACAATGTTCGACCTCCACAACTTTATTCACATTTAAACCATAGTGAAAGTACACAAAACAACATTAATTCTCGCATTACTCTAATAAAATAAATTGTAGATACGATGCGATTTTGCAGCAAGCATTCATTTTTAACTAAACTCTTTTCTTGAAAAAAAACAAACTGAAAAAAAATAGTAAAACCACGAGTGAAGACAAAAAATAGTGACAACTTCATTTTCAAGTGCACATCCCTAATCCGAGATGTCCAAAATTTACCTCTGTGCCATGCTAGGTCGATTTTTTCCACGCATTTCCGGAATCAAGTACTTTACAAGTACCGGAAAAATACCATGACGTGAATAAATTACCACATATATGCTAGATAGCATGGCGTGCATGCCAATAGTAAATAGTGCGCATAGAGCTAAAGTGGAACCCACAGAAATCCTTCCAATTAGACGCTTGCTGCATGGAGTTTTGTAAATACGCTGTTGGGCGTCCCATACGATATCTGAAGTATTTGAATAATACTGGGGAACTTCGCAAATATTTTCTAAATTTCTACTTCTATCATTTTTCTCGTTATTGATTTTACACATAGGCTCATATTCACTTGGAAAATCTCCCATCGGAAGCTTTTCTGAAGTAATAACCGGCACCTTTGTGAGCAAGCACTCGTGGATAACTCTCTCAGTCACATTGACGCCATTTTTGTCCCAATAAGTCCTGTCAGGTAGCGACAAAAAGCAAATTTTATCCCAAATCGGCGAATGTTTGCCGATGGTGCGTGGGTCAATAAAATCACCGTTCGTTAAACAACAAAAATTAAACCCTGAGCATGAAAAATGAGTTTGGATATTGCAGCGTAGGGTACTTGAGGCGCTGGCATCCTCCGACACAGGAATAGCCCAAATAGCAGAATACAGCTCTTCAGATGCTTGTGCCTCACCTGATGCTGCATAATGATTCACACAAGCGAAAAATAAAAATCCAAAGCTGCACAATGACAATACTATAGACAAAAAAAACATGTAAATATAACGCTACGGGATGACGGAAAAGTCTAAAGGAGCAGTTAAGGCATCCAACAAGGACTGCTGTTAATCCATACCACAACAAGGAATCTTGAAGCCTTACAAGCGGTGGAGGTATTGAGGGAAGATGAAATAAATGCGTGCCGTGCCTGTCTGTCCTCATCAACTCGTAGGAAAGATATGGCCGAGTGGCTTGTAGAATCAGAAACTTGAATATCAAGCAAAGAATCCCAGTTATGACCACAATTGCGGACGTAAAGACAATTTTGAAATGACTCATCCTCAAGGCACTTGGTTTATGTTTCTTGAATTGTGCTTTCTTATAGAGGATATGCCCTATTTATTTCTTAAAATGGGAAGAGTAGATTACTATTCATAAATAAAATTTTCTATATCAACAATGCATTTTTTGAACACGCTAAAATCACTATCTAAGCTTCCATTATTCTATATATATATATATATATATGAGGGGAGGGGGATGAAGGGCGATTATTCTTTTTATGAAATACATCTGGATGCCTTGGGAGAGGGCAGAGGAGCATCATCCTCTTCCCCCTCCCCTAGCACACGCTCACATTTTTGATCGCTTTCATTACAAAGCATCAGTTTGCAAGAAAGTTGAAAGGAAAATTACACGGGTGATAAAGGTTGCTTCAATGTGATAATAATGCACACAGATTGCTTAACTTTTTTAAAAAGTTAATTAACTGTTAATGAAGCAATGAAATGAATTTCACCTTGTGGAGAAAAGCACGAAAACGGATCAAAATTATTTGAGAATAAAGTCAATCCTACCATACCACATCGTTTGAGCTACAACAAAAGTATGGGCATAGAATAGCAAGAGGTCTCATACTCGTATTATTATAAACCTTTGATGAACATAATTACGTAGAATGCATGCTAGTCTTATACTTCTTCACCTCGCATATTGCCAATCCTATTCATTTCTTTTTAATGTGTAAGTGTAGGGTCAACTTAAAGACGAAGCTCCATAAGAACATAAATCAGATCAACGGCATTTACTGGAAGTGTTTTTGTAGTAAAACGATCGTCCGGCTTTTTTTTTGTCAGGTTCATTGTAACAAAACACTTCAACATTCGACAGAGCTTGGTCCCGCCCACAGGCAGTGATATGAAGTATTGGTTTGAGTGGTAAAAATGATTCTTGAGATATTGTCCTCCATTTTCATTACCATGGCATTCAGGATGTGGCCAGAGGATACTACGCCCGATATCATCACTACCATCACGTTCGAACTCATGCGACGGGGCTACCTCAACTATAAGATGCACGGAAGACAAAGGGATTCCCATACATGCCATTAGTGCTGACAGGACACGGGCAACATGGTCTGCATTCAAAACAGTAAAAAAAGTTTTGAAGACACTTAAGTCACACACGGCGCCTTTACCCGCGTCATAAAAAAAAATCTTGTCCACATCGACACTCAAAAGTGACGACCCTGCTATCTTCTCCACTAAGGAAACTATGTAACGATTTAGATACGCTACCGCTTCTGATGAGAGAGTGGACGGCAACGCAGAAAATAACCAAACTATACTAAAAGCCCCACAATACTTCAATACAGACAGTTTCTGTACCGCAGAACGTTCCTCTCGACCTTTACCCCACAATTTTGCCACAAATCTTAGCGGAGAAGAAGTTATTAGAGATGGTACTGGTGACTGAGGGGTCGTCCGTGCTATAACTGGCTTTAAGAGCCTTTGATAGCCACCTAACTCGAGGCACGAATATCGCAAGAGAGCTGAGAACTCGGAAAACAGGAGGAAAGGCGAACGCCACAGAAACGTCGTGAGACTTGCCTTAGGGTCACCAAATACCCCTCCAGAGGTTGTGCTAGTTTCATCGAAGCATGAATAATAAAAGTGAAAGAGAGGTTCCGTCACAGTCCTGTCCTGGGTCGTGATGCGCGAAACGAGCGCCGCATAGAGGGAGCCATGATTACTAGGCATTGGGGAGTAGGTGGTAGGCTCAAAAGAGGTACACGAAGGTACGTTGCAGTACCGCAATGCGTCCTCCAGAGAAACGTCTCTCAGTCCTTTCGTCCCCCACCGCCTCAGCGTCCGGGCTGTATCCAGGACGCCCTCCACATCGTGCATTCGAATCACTACACCCTTTCCGTCGATGGTGAAGCCAATTGCGTGACGCTCATGGAACCGTCCTCCATTTAGACGCTGTAGGATGTTGGCATTGCAGTCCTGGAGCCCCACCGCTTCATCATTCACGTGTATAGTAGATTGGTAAAATACACATCCCAGAGCAGTAACATCACCTTTGCCACACTGTGCACGGGCTGCGGCTGCTTTGCACAGCAGTTGCTTATGAGCGAACATGGTGGCATACTGCGTAGCACTGGATACAGTATCGAGACTAAGAGTACAATTTTCTTCAAAAAATGTTACGGTCTCAAAACGAAGCTGAACATCCTTTCCCAAATCCAGCCACAGTGCGATGGCATGCTCGAAGAGGGCTTGCATTTCTTTACTCATGTTCACACACACTAAGTCGACTGGATAAGAATGTCCTGGATGCCATAGCACCTGCGGAGAAAAGGATCTGGCATTTTTGATGAAATGGTGCCCAATAACAGCGGCGATAGCGCCAATACCAGCTACGGCAAACCACTTTCTACCAAAATCGTTTGAATTTGAACTACCTGTGCACTCAGGCTCTGGTTCTGGCAGCTTTTCATATGTAAGAAGTGTTTTCATTCTAGGGATTCCTTGTGAATAATCTTTTATAGATGAAATGGGACGTGTAAACATCATTCGCATGTTTTTGAGCTCCGATCCTGACGGTAACACAACGCAAGAACTGGCAGAAAAAGAATGCATGTGTGAAAATGCAGTACGAGAACAGTAAACACAAGCTCACCAGCTGTACACCCTTAGTTTTGAGGGAGGAATATGCATCTGTCTCACTCAGACACGCACAAAAGATGGCTATACACATAGTACAAGAAGATTCCACTATGTGTAGCTCTAGGGAATCATACAGGAAACATGCAAGCATCTCATTTAATTCCTCTCTTACCCTAGAGGAAGTGATGAGGTAGCACACAGAAAAAAAAAGTAGTTGAATGTGATGAAGCTGACCTTCCACCATCTTAAACTGCAAAGCAGAGCATTAGCAGAAAAGGAAAAATGGTTCAGCAGAAGAGGGCAGATGGAATGTCAAATTAATATTGAGCTAAATCAATGCTGCTAGGTTGACGCAGTCTACTGAAGATAGATACTGGTAACAAATAAAAGAAACTCAATAAAAAAGTAGGGTCGACAAAAAAAGATGCAGCACTCCTACCACATGAATACACTCGTAGGAATGTAACTGTCGTTATCTGATACATCGTTAAAATCTCCCGCATACTCAGTATTACGATCATCTTCGTCCTTGTTATTGCTACCTTCCATTTCCATACTTGATGTTTCTAAGATCAACACAGCGTTTTCATCTCTATCATCGTCTTCAAATAAATTGGCAGCGATACCATCGCGCTCAACAGCTTCGACAAAAACACTTCCATCATTCAAGGTGCTCTCCGCACTATCAGATAACTCTTCATCCCCCGTGCCCCTTGATTCATGCAACGTTTGAGAAGGCCACAACGGGGGACTCGACACAAAAGAGGAGGGGCTTCCATCTTCATTATCGTCACTTTGCCTATCCGACAAATCAGAGTATATATCTTCCTCAACATGGTGGCACCTAGCAAACAGATAATCCATTACTTCCTGAAGCTGAGCTGCTGTGATTGAGCAGACAGACTGGGGATATTCCATCGTGGCCCCATGCAAAGAGCTCAGTCGAGCTGCGGATATAACGCTGCTAAGACCTCCCGTAGGTTGTGTACTACGACGTTCTGCGCGCGTCAATAGCGAATAAGAGCCTGCAGCTATTGTGGGAAGAAATGGCGCCGGCGATGCTGGGGGATCCACCAATAGATTCTGCCTCGGTAACTCCTTTCCATTTCCGGCAGCGCAAAGCTGAACCAAGGCATTTGGAATTAACTGGCGCACCTCCTGTGGCAAGTCAGCTCCAACCAAGGTGTTCTCAGCAGAAGCATCGGCTCCAGGTACAGACACCATAGCATTTAGATTACAATTCATGTACAGCAAGCACAGAACATTTAAGGCAATGAGAAATCCTCTTCCCATATTAATAAACGAATTCTGCGAGTAGTGAGTTTGAATGTCTTTGCATGACCTTAGTGATGCCCTATCAGCGTTGTTGTTGAAAGAACCACCATTCGGTAAGCATAGCAATGGTGAATTCTCAGCCTTGAACGCTGCATCTAGACCGCCCATCATTGAGGCCTCAACCGTATAGCTCATCCGAATGCCAAACTGCATGTATGTGACTAAGCGTCCGGTTGTTCTCTTGCACTTTTGGGCAGAAAATAGGCATTGAGGGAGCGAAAAGGAAGGACAGCAGTAGCCTAGAAGGATTGGGAAAAACTTCTCTGGGGAAACCTCCTTGAGTATGGAGCCCTTAGGATCGTTACAACACCCCTCACCAGCCAAAGGTACGGTAGCAGCAGAGGCAGCAAACGCAGAAGGGTGGGTTATACTGTTATCTCTAACGGGGATCATCCCTTTTTTTTCCCCTTTTTTATTTAGAGAGGACACGGCTTCTTCAGTGCAGCCGTATATCATAAAGTTTTTTGCGCGCGAATGGCCGTGAAAATCAGTGTACAAAATAATAGAACGCTGTTCGGTTGTGATCATGTGATGGAGAAGCTGTTTAAGTGAGTACACCACTGGGTTTGTCTTCATACTAGGATTCAAGTAATCGCGATTCAGATCAGCACCAAATATAGAGCAGCGGTGATTGCCCATGACTACACCATCAGGGTTAAGAATGGGAATAATCTTAAAGACAAAATGATTAAGTAAGTTATCGACCACCTGGTGGAGGCGTTCACCATCAGAGGTACATCCACAAAGATGGTGTGCCGTGTGAAGGTCATCCGGCGCTAAGAGCGCCTCCAGAATGCCGTGCATCATCCAACTGGAGTTGGATTCACCTGGATGAACACGCGCCGTAAGGAGGATCACAGGTCGCCGGCGTATCTCCTCAGGTGTATAACTCCTCCTCTCGGTGGATGAATAGAGGGCCGTAGCAGTGACAAACGGTACAGGGAGGCCCCCCGGTGTGAGGCATAACTGTTGGATAGTAAATTTACCGGGCTTCCCCCCACCGTTCTCCTTGTTCATTTTGAGATTATTGTCTTCAATATGTGCCGTTGCGCTGAGTCGTCGCAGATGTCTAACAACCTCAGAGTAGGTGTATGGAAAACAATTCGCTATGTAAACCTTGTGCGGCGCTTCTGTCGGCATCGTAACCTTGAAAGATAGAGTGAAGTATGTTTTGGTGGATGTCTCACTCGCGCTGCTGTGGGCACATGATGATGACACAACTTTCTTCCCAAACACAGGGTACGAAGAAGCTGAGGACGACTTTTCGTTTGCTGTTATAGTTGTGGAATCTCTGCGCAGATGCTTACACAATGGGCTTCGGCGCGAACGATAGGGTTGTTTTTTTGATTTCGCCTCAACCGATTGATTTGTGGAACGTGTGTGTGTGGTGGCGCACGATGGAGTGTGCTGCAGCCTATCTCGAAGTGTTAACCTTGTCGGTTTGCTGTAGGGGTTAGGAAAGTAGTAAATACACTCCCCTGCACGCTGCCAATTACTCATCTTGGACGTGTTTGTCACGTTTCCGAGAGGAAAAGAAAAAGATTCTGTGCACGTATCATGAAGCAATAACACGCGCTGACCTTCATTGAACATTGAGCCATTCTTTTCCATATTGATAATGTTAAAGCGGTAAGTTTTGCCAGGCTCATAGCCAGAAACAGAGAAGCAGAACCACTGAGTGAATGAATTAGTCGCAGTATCCCAGCTCAGTACTAGATCGTACTCATCATCTCTGACACATACAGCCCGCTGAAGGTTGCCGGAGGGAAAGTTGCTACGAAACGTTATCGAAGAGCCGCCTCCTGGCGTCCTAGCACAGCTCCGTGTATCACTCTTAATACTCCCTTTAAGAACATCCTCATTGCTATCCCTTGCTATACCCTTCACTCCTTCCTCGACATCTTGTGTGCGATCGTAGACGACGCAATAACGATGATGACATGTGGGGTCTTCGCTAGCATCATCAGATGTCCCATCAAGAAGGAGAAGACGCTTAATATGATGCACAAGAATTTCGATCCGCTGGGAATCACTCGAGACCTCTAGTGGCTCCATTAGTTCATCAGTTGTATGATGATGATAACAATTAGTTTGCGGCAGTGGCGGGTCGGTGAACAACCATGGGAGTTTTATAGCGTCCTCATGTGGCATCTCAGTCTCGGGGGAGATAAACCCATTGTTCAATTCCGTGGAAAACCATGCTGGGCACTGATCAACTGGTAAAAGGCTTGATGTATCTGTAAACATTAACTTTTCAGCCGGAGGCATTGAACCTGATACATTCAACCCCTTTTCTGGGAGAGGAACATTCCCACTGGACCCAGCTCCTACCACAAAAAGCTGCGACTGTGACGCCGGTGGCGGCTTAGCCCCTAACGCAAGACCTCGGGAAAGTTCGTTATCATCAGTCTTAATGGATACCCGTGAAAAAGAAGTTGACACTTCTTTCCCAGGAAAACGGTCTCCAAGAGGCGAAAATAGCCACATTGGGACCCGTGAATTCACGGTGTAGGCAGACTCATTCTCGGAAGACGATGGAAGAAGTGAGAGACCGTAAAAAGAACAACAAAGAATGTAGCACTGGCACCACTGATTCACCCCGTTGAAGGGCAACTGCAGGACCAATTTCACAAGTGAAGCAACACCACCAACTGCATGCAACTCCTCCAGACCCAGTTTCCGATTCGCCCCTAAGAGAGTATCGATAGCGATTAGTGTTGCGCGAACCACGCACATTCGGTGCTCCCACTGAGCTGCAGAAAAAGTAGGTAGTATGAGATTTCTTTCAGAAGCTTCTCTATTCTCAACACCTTTTCCGATATCCTGTGTAATAGTCCATAGAACCGTGTACATTGATAAGAGCACATTGTGCTTGTGTGCTCCCATACTACAAGCAATGTGGGCCTTGCACCTCTGACACACTCTTTGGAGTAAAGCCACTGCCCAGAACATAGACACCTCCATACTGCTTAACCATAGAAGCACCCACGGCGGCACTGTGTTCTGAGAGGCGTCATTTTCCACAGAGCCTTCGGGAAGTTTGCACATCGAAGACGAGTCGTACGATTGTGTTGCAAATACCTGACAAAAGCGATTGGGGATGTCCAGATATAGGCTACGAGATAGTATGGCTATTAGCTTAGCGCAAACACCAACACACTTCGCACCGAGCTTATTTGTGTTGTTTGAAGACTTCGCTGCTGAAAAAATGGCCATGCACAAGTGTGTGCACGCAGAACCCAAAAAGGATGTCAGGCGCACAGTGTTTTCAACAATCTGAAGCAGTCTCTCCCGGACTGCCTCCCTACCTATGGCTTTGTCAGAGTCAACCACATTGTCTAGGGCATCAAGGAAATCCCTGAGTCTAAGGTCAAGGAAATCAACTACAACACTCAGGGAATATAAAAGACGCTCCAGTATATGTGTAACGCGGATTACGATATGGCCCTTTGAATTAAAATGATTTGCCAGGGTCATGATCAAGGCAACCGCCTCGATAACTCGGCAGCGGTAATACAACTGCATTTCGCCTACGTTACCACATTTCGCGTAGAAAACTCGTGGACTCGTGTGTGCCATTAAAATGCTGGTGCAAATCTTATAAAGGCCTAACATAATGCACAATTCAATTACCTTTTTCAATATAGGCTTTCCTCGAAGCGCCTGCAGTAGGTTGTACAGAAGCGAAAGTAAAAGAGCGGCTAGCTCAGGATCCGTTCCACTCATCAGATCCGTTCGAGCAGCAGATAGCAACATCGGAAAAGTGTTCGAGATATTACGCATAAGCACCTTCCATAACTTGCGCCTTTCCTTCGGAGTCACGATGATTTCCTTCTTTGATTTAGACTTTGACTGGGCCAAAATTGACTGCTTTAATGAAGAATGGTTCGTTGCAGCCGGAAAAAGAACTGTGATAAGAAATGAAACCCGCTCAATAACACCATTCTGAAGATTAGCCTGACTACTACCCGATGGTCGCTTGGAAGTTGTCTTCGTGAGGCTCGGAATCCCGCCCTCACCGTTCAAAGATTGGCTGGGGATATTGTCACCCAGTGGCTTAAAGCCGCGGCAATAATTTTTTATCTCATTTAAAATAGTTGGAAGCTGAACCCATAGCTTTTTGTTACTGGAAACAACACACCAGGCATAGATAGAACTACATGGTCGCGTGTAAGATCTTAGCAAAAGTGGCAGGTGATCCTGTATCAAATAAGGAGACAGGTCTATCCTGGTAAGGCTATCGTCATTTCGTCTGCGCGCTTCTATAGAATCAGTGACCTGTATTGGTAATGACAAGCCTGATGTTGCTACTGACGTCAATGATTTGTCGTGTGATTTCCTGGAAGCTTGTGATCGACTCCTACGAGCCGATAATGGGCTAATAGGGTAAATATTTGTTTGCTTACCCATAGCACATGAATGACAAAATTAATTCTAGATCAAATGTAATTGTATGCGTACTACGAATAGATGAAAAAATAAAAACATTGGGGCTACGCAAGATAAGATATATATGAATGCAATCATAGCCAAGTTTTAAATAAATAAAAAATATGCCGGCACAAATATTTTTTTAGATTCAATTGTCATAATAACTGCACCAATGCAAGATATTACGACTGAGTCTCTTTGTTCCATGAAGCGAAAAATCAAACAAAGAAACAATTTTCTCACTTTTTCCGTTGCTGGATGAATTCAGAATCACAATAATTTAGAAGACTATACTGAAGCTATAGTCGTGGAATCGTCAAAAGTAGAAATTATTAAGACGTTGAACTGTAAAAATGCAGAAAGGAAATAAGCAAAAAATTAGATGCGGAAAGTGGAATCAGAACCTTTCTGCCTCCATCGGCAATGTAGGGGTTAGTGCTTCTCAGGGGACTCACTTTCACTTTCAATTGAAATTTCAGCCTCGGAAATCGGTTCCACTGGTTTTGTCTCGAACCTCTTCTGATCCTCTACAAACTCCACATCAATAGCTCCTTCGGTATTGTAGTCTTCGACAGTTTCCTTTGGTAGGCTTACATCGTCCGGCTCAAGTTGTTGTTCCATAAAGTCTTTATCAAGTTTGCCATTCTTCGTATCGTACATCATCCGCGCCGCACGAGCGACTTTTTTACCCTTTTCATTCTCACCCAGTCCGAAAGCCATAACCCCAAATCCCTGAGGCATTCCATCCCCCTTGCTTATGGAATCCATAAGGGATTTCATAGAGTCCTGCATCTCAGGGCTCATATTCGCACGCAGCACGGAATGCATACCCGCCAGCTGGCTAGGATCTATGAGGCCATCACCACCTTTGAAGTTGCCGTCAAACATATTTGAATTACCAGCAATTTTCGCTTGCGAAAGTATTTTTGAAAAATCGTCGAACTGATTTCGGAGGAGGATCGCACGCCCGATGATGGCATGGCTAACACGTGAAAGCCGCAACATACGACAATGACACAAAAAAAACAATGCCAATATGAAGCAAAGTTTAATAAAGCTTGGAAATGTAAAACAAATAGGATTAACGCAGACAAAGAGGTGTAGGAAGGAATTTTAAAAGCCAATTTTAGAAGCATACTTGGAATGCATCAACACAACGTTATGTGCTTGGAATAGGAAAAGGAACAGAGTTCCAACCAGAAAAGGTATCATTTCGCTCGCATAACAAATAAAAACATGAAGAACACACAACTATGCTACCTGTAATGAATTCCTCACGCTTCCCAGGGTGTAATAGCTTCTAATCGCTGCATATAGTCAAGTGTTAGAAAAGTTTGATACACAAACACTAACGTATGCAGTCCTGAAAATTTGTAAGAAATATGCTGTCAATGCATAAATCATGAAACAAAATAACGTGAATAAAAGTGCGGCACTTGAGCAGATTTCTGTTTATGAGTGAAGTCAAGAAGTTACAAACCAAGGGAATCTTTAGTTGGGAATCGCAGTCCTAGCAGATGCAGCCCGGTGACACCATACTCTTCCAGAATACTATTGGAGGAGGCCGAAAATGCCGCGTCAACCTCGTCTTTGTCGAGGGAGTTCTTCACTTTGACATCCGATATGGAGCCATATGCAGGGGGCGCCGGGGCATTCTTCAGGTGTCTCCGCTCTCTCGCCGGAGTCCAGGACATCTGTGATGGGAAAGCCGGAAACGGCAACAACCGCCACCACCAGCGGAGAATAAAGCAAGAATATCGCTGCACATCACTCTCCATAAAATCTCGGTAATGATGGTAAGACCGAGAAGAATTGCTATTGTTTTCTTGAACTACCCCGTTGGCTACGTAAGTTGGGATAGTATGCAGCTTGGCATCACCAAACACATGCAAGAGGTTGCGCCGTACTCCTAAGTCGTACACGTTTTTTCGCATGAAACGCTTCAAGGAAAGGTCATTCTTGTCAGCATTCTCCAGTTCGCCACTCGCGGATGCGGAATCGCCTGTGCCTTCGGTATCACCTGATGACCTGATTTCAGAGTCGGATGATGTGGATGAAAAATATCCATCATACCGACGGCGCTGGTGAATAACCAGATCTACTGACGTGATGTTATGCCGTGCATAGGTGTAGTGTCGTTTCAGCAAGTAACTAGTCATCACGAAAAAAAGCAAGGCCTCGGTAAAACACACAAACACTCCAAAAGATGGAGCCCCCACCCTAAGCGCCTCTAACACTGATAGTGGGCACTGCGGAGAAGCCTCTGCTAAAGTGTTTTCCAACAAGGCTTGATTGTGTTGATTACCATGCACACTGCCTAACGTCAACCCAGTGGCCTGCAATGTGCCGTCTTGAGCGCTTGTCTGGCTCTTCGCCAGGACGTGGAGCACGATGGCTGCACTGAGTAGCATGAGTACCCATGCTGTAGACAACCACGAATATAGTACCACTAGGAGGTAATTCTTGTAGTTAAAGAAGCCCACGCACTGACCCAACCATGGGCAGTGGTGGTCATACTTGAGCACACAACAGTTGCAGTGCCTGCAGTGATGCGCCCTAGGCGGCTTGTAACGGGCGCACACTGGGCAAAAGTTGAGGTTTGAATTCCACACGCTGGTGTATGCATGGACACTCGGGTTGAAGAAGAACGTCTCATGCAAGGAGCCTGGATCAGACAAAGGACCACACGAATCTGAGTCAGCGCTTTCGTCGCTACTGTTAGGGTTGGCTGGAAATACGCGCACCATTGTGCTGCCTAGCGCACTACGGTGAGAAAGGGGGGGATAGAGCGCTGCTTCACTCCTATGGTCATTCGGATCGGTCGCTTTCCCTTCAACTACATCAGCCGGAAATGCCTTTCGGAATGTCAGGGGCTCATAGAAGGTCGCAAGGGCTAGAGCCGCACTTGACCTGGAGCGCTGCTGGAACACCGAAGGCACGGTACCAGGAGGAGTTATAACGGCCATTATGTAGGACCATGTCACCATTGTTACAAGAAAAAGAGAGAGAGAAAACAGAACATAGTTAACTGGCTTCAATGATTGAATCAAACTGCGGAAGGTAGGATCCACAGGTGAGCCAGTCTGCTCAATGAATCCTCTATTTCTAGAATCAGGATTATTATATATATCGAGCTCCTCTGCGGTAATATTGAGAAATGGAAACAGGACGACCTGAGCAATGATACTCATAGTGCATGGAAACAAATACGTGAAGAAACTGTGAACTGAGTAAATGGTAACAAGAACAAAGGTGCCAACTATTAAGACGCTCGACAAACTACGGTTGAATACCTTCATCAGCCTCACGAGCCCAGAATGACGATTTTAAATATGTTCTTTGGGAGTCACTATTATTGTTAATCTCTATTCTGGTGTGTTGGACGTCTTTATCTTATGCTATGTGCAGTGATAATATACTCAAAAAAAAAAGGTCCTGGCGTAGGTACAACAGCTTTAGAATACTATATATATATATATATATATATATATATGTATTTCTTAATTCGT